ACTAATTTATTATATCTTCAGTATTTATTATATTTTTGTAATTATTGTATTTTTATTATATATCTATTATATTTTCATTATAAACTCATTTGTAATGATTGTGTATGTTTGATATAAATTTTCAATAATTATTGGAGATTAAACTATTGTTATTTAGACTATAAATTTAGTTGAAATTATGATTGTTCAATGATTGGTTTAGTTCAGTTGCAAGTTGTTTTACCAACCAAATCGATCTGGTCAAGTCCACAATTTGCCACTTGAAACCGATTGACCATTAACGAAAGCCAACTCAGGTTTTATCGATTTGGGTCTATTTTCGGTTTAGTTTGTTTGTTCAAAAGATTTAAAATTAAAAATTAACTTTAAATTTCATAAATTACAATGATATTATTAAAAAATAAATTACAAAAATTAAATCTATGATATAAAATATTTTAGATTAACAAATATAAGAATTTTCCTACTTTCTCGTATTAAAAAATTAAATTTAAAATATAAAATATTAATTTATATATTTATTAAACCAAAGTTGATCTGAAATACTAGAAAACCGACCAACTCGGGTTGAGTTTGATCCAATTGTTTATTAAAAAGTTATAAAGCAATTATATACTCTTATGTATTTCTTTCGCTTAACAAAGCATGGGTCCCTGTCACCATGCCTCTCCTTGCTCCATTATCCCCACCCTACATTTTCTTTGACTTTCTCTCGTCTCCCCTTCCCTGCTTCCCAACACTCCCATTAAGCCATGTCACCCAACTACCTACAAAAATTCCTATAATCTCTCTCCTAAGGTATCTTATTTAAACCAATAGGAAAGTATCACATTGCCCCACTCCCTAATCAATTCCTAAAATGCATCCCCCCAATTTATATCCACTCTCTCTCTTTTAAAATATCCATATTAACTAATAAATAGTTAAATACAGTTAATATTTAATCCCACACATATTCAATGAGTATTAAATAGTGTTATTACCAAAAGTTAATTAATACGGTTAGTAAATTATCATAAATTAAATATTCTTATTAGTACGGTTAGTAAATTACCAAAAATTAATAAATATTATTATTAATTAACTAATTAACAACATTTTATAGAAATTGAAAATTCTTTAACTAATTTCTATAAAATTGAGAATTACATTTAACAATTATCAAAAAATATATAATTTTATTTATTGTTATTATTATAATTAATAACCAAATACAAATGGGAGAACAAAATATTGTAATGTTAGAATATGAAATTATTAATTAATTTATATTGAAAAGTAAAAGATAAATTAGCGTAATTTTGTTAGTAAACTACCAAATAAAAAATATATATTTAATAACAATTTAAAAAATTCAATAAATCCCCATAGTTACACAAATGTAATAAGTTTTTCAAAAAATTTCATAAAACTACATTTTCGTAAAATAATTTTTTTAAACTAAAAGAAATAAAGTATTTGAAAGTTTATTTAAAATGCATTAAATAATTATTGAAAATTATTAGAATATTTTGGAAATTTTAGGAAAATTTATTACATTTGATAGATTTTGGAAAACCATTGAAAAATTATGTAATTTTCTTTGAAAATTATTGAAATTTATTAAAGTTAAATGACTATGGAAAATGGAAAACTATAATTTGAACAAATAATTAGACAAATTATTAAGATAAATTAGTATAATATTGGAAAAAGGAAATTATTGGTTAGTTTATATTAGAAATTATAAGATAAATTAGTATAAATTTGTACGTAAACCATTTAAAAAGAAAATAAGTTATTTAATAAAAATGTAAATAAATTTGAATAAAATTTCAAAATTACACAAGTACAATAAATTTACCATGTGGTTGATACTCAATATATTATTTTGATCATTTCTATCATCAAATTGAATATCTGGTTGACGGGGACAGTGTTTTCAAAACTGGATCAAGCTAGATAGTTAGATTGTAAAAATTGGGAACCGGACACCGTTTCACATCAAAACCATTTTTTTCCAAAAACCGTTTATTTGGCTAGCACACCACTGACCTGGGCGGTCGAACCATCAACTCGGACAACAGTTTTTTGCCTTTTTTTGTTTCTCTAATTTTTTATTTTTTTGTCAGAGCGGGTCATCCATTCGGACTGAACAGTCAGACCGTTTGACCCAGAATGGTTCCCTATACAGTCCAATTTTAGAAACCTTAGATGGGAAGTGGGTGTCTTGGATTGAGCTTGGCTTGGTGTGCGGCATGGCCTGACCCAAGGCTCGGCCCATGGACCAGCCCGACCCACGACACGACACGAGCCCGTGTGGGCTCGATTTGTAGGCCATGCCGAACTGACCCCCTAAATTATCCTAGAGGAGGGAGGCACGGCCCGGGATGCCTCATGGGCCAGCACGACACGACTTGCACTTTGTACGGGCCACATGCGGGTCATGTCGTGCCAGTCCAACACAATCCAATTTACACCTCTACTTGAACCCACCCAATATTGGGGACGGGGTAGGGAAATTCGAGGATTCTCCATCATTCATGAGGAGCGGGTTGCCTTGCCCCTAAACTCGCCCGACATTGAGGAGTGGTTACCTTGCCCTAAACCTACGTGACACTAGGCATGGGGCGGGGATGGGGTAGAGTGTCTTGATCATGGGGCAGGAAAAGGGATGGGGTGCTTTGCCCTGAACCCACCCCATTGTCATTCTTATATAATTGTTAATTATTAGTGGAATTAATAAAAATGTTAGTTTTTATAAATTATTTTAATTAATTAAAATTTATTAAAAAATGTTTATTCATATTCAGTTAACAATAATTATTTTTTATAAATCAACATTAAATTAAAAAAAATTATTAAATCTTTCAGATTTTCCCGTGCATCGCACGGGAAACAGCAAATCAGATACACGATTTGAAGAATTTCCACCACACCCAACAAACAACCCAGGCCCAATGAAATGGAGAGGGTTACTTTAGGCCCACAATCTCGTATCATATGTAACAGGATTTTATCCTCATAATAGAGGAGACTTTTGAATGGATCAAGACCTAGATCAGATAACTTAATCTTAACTAACCCTAGGATGCATCTGGATCCGATGGAACATGAATATTTTTCGTTGGATCTATTTCGATGTAATATGTTAGTAGGTTGAATCGGGAACATCACATGGCAGAAATCCTATTTAGATTAGATCGGGTTTGATTGGGTATGATCCAACCCATTCATGCCAAAGATTAGAGAGAGAGAACATTCTACTACTTTCTTAAGCTAAGAATTGTTATAATGTAGCTCTTCTAGTTCTGGAGAATTACAATTAGGGGTGTCAATTGGATTGGGTTTGGTCTAATCCGATCCAACCCAATGTGAATCCATTATAAATGGATCAGGTCTAATCCAATCTAATGAATATTTTGAATCATTTTGGATCAGTCCAATTTAATGTTCGGACCATTCAATTTGTTTAAATTCGTTTTAATTTAGATTGGTTGTGACTCAAACCCGGTCCATTGACACCTATATTCTTACCTTAGATCAATGGACTGGATATTGGCTTAATCTAACCAAATCCAATATAAATTTATTATGAACAGAGCATGTCCAGTCCAATCAAATAAATATTTTGGATCGGATTGATCCAATTAAATATGTTTTATTGTTCCATCCAATCCATTCAAATTGATTTTGAATGGACAGGATCCACTCTAAAACCGGTCTATTGACACCCTTAGTTACAACATTGTGGGCTAGACATTGCAGTTTTGAGCCCACTTTTTCTTTTCTCTAATTTCATTAAGGATGAATTTATTAGGAGTACAAATGCAAATATATGTAGAGCACAAAGGTATGTATTTTGTATGTATTTGTATTGTACATATTTTTATTTGAACTCTTCCCAAAGTAAGACTTGGTTTGACAAATATGCAGAGTACAAACCTTTTATTTTATATATATTTACACTGTATTTATTTATATTTATACTCCATTCAAAATTGAGCCTAAGGTGCATTGGAGAGCCAAGATTAATAGATTATCCACAAACTTATCCATCTGGGTTTAAGAGGCTAACTAAATAGGTGTAGTGATAACTGTCGCATAGAGACATAGAGCAAGTATATAGGGCTATTTTGTGGCTGAATTCGTGAGGGTGATTTGGACCTGGAGTTGGCTATCTGGATTGGTTAGAGCTAACATGGGGCCGCTTGGCCCAGAAAGATATATGCCAAATTAATTATAGGCAAACGCCGTCTATGCAAAGATTCTAAATCTGTGGTTCCGAAACATGTTTTCAAGATTAGATATCAGAACAACCAATCCCTCTTTGACAAGTAATCCAAAATTTAGGCGGGAGTGGAAGCGCAATACACGTGGCAAAAGGGCAAAACAGCAGACTTGGCAAAAGGAGATGCATCGATAACATGGGCCGCTTGGCCCAGAAAGAAGTATGACAAATTAATTATAGGCAAAATGCCGTCTTTGGAAAGATTCGAAATTTGCGGTTTCGAAACATGTTTTCACGTCTAGATTTTAGAACAACCAATCCCTCTTCGACAAGCAATGCAAAATTTAGGCGAGAGTAGAAGGACATTACACGTGGCAAAAGAGCAAAACAGAAGACGTGGCAAAAGGAGATGCATCGATGAAAATTGAAAATGATCACGCGAGTGGACTTGAACGACCTGCTCGAGTATACAGGCAACCGAATAACAAGCAAAGCATCACTAACTGTCGGATGATACGATGACCGATCTCTCCCTCTTCTTCACTCTCTGGCATCTCGCCACGTTAAACTGCATCCAGAAAACAAAAAACAAGGAGAAAGAGGATTCACGGTTCACCCGTCCATCTCGCCACCTTTCTCTGTCTTCCACCCGCACTCTCCCAAAAACCAAGGCCTCCTCCCTTCACTTCTTCTCCCTTTACACCTCTGTTTCTTTCTCTACCCTCCTCCTCCCCTCTGTCTCTCCTCCTTGCCCCGAAGCCAGATCCACACGGTTTTCCGGCAAGAGAGGATGGTTCACCGCCTTGCCTTCTCTTGCTTCGGACGAGGATCTAAATCCCTGTCGAAAAGTAACCCCACGGCAGAGAATGGGATTGAGGAGCAGCAAGCAACGGAGGAACCGAAAAAGGGAGGAGCCATAATGGTGGAGCTGTTTTTGTCGCAGGGCTGCGCCACGTCGCCAGAAGCGGAGCTCTTAATATCGAGGCTGGGGAGGGGAGACTTCGACCCGGAGGTACCGGTAATAGTTCTCGCATTCCACGTGGATTACTGGGATTACATGGGTTGGAAAGACCCGTTCGCGTCGAGCCAGTGGACGGTGAGGCAGAAGGCGTACGTGGAAGCATTGAAGCTGGATACTATGTTCACGCCCCAGGTGGTGATTCAGGGTAGGACCCAGTGTGTTGCCACCGATCAAGCCGCTTTGCTCTCTAACATCACATCCGCCGTCCGATATCCGTCTCTCGCCTTTCAGGTTTGTTCCTACCACGTAATAGAGATAGGTGGACATGGGTATTTTAGTTTTAGATTGTAAACTTCAACCTTCAAATGTTAAGATGCATTTTTTTTTCCTGTTGGGTGAAGTTCATATATGCAAACCCAACCCACTTCAATTTATGATGGGCTTGTATTGTGTTTGTGTTTGGTTTGGGGTTGAGGTTTCAACACATTAAGTTTTCTGTAAATTTGGTAAGGTTTCAACTTTCAACTCACAAACATCCTGACCCAACCAGTGGTTCTCAACAGTCAACACCCTTCTCCAATTGGATTGGGTTGGGTGGGTCCAAATCTACTCAACCCAACCCAAATTGCAACCGAACATATTGATACTAGAGGAGCCATGCATGCACGTACATATAGTAGGCAAACTGTAGGCATTGCATTAATGCTCATTACTTAACACGAAGTAGATTAATCTGTAATGACATTTGAATCATCAGAAGATAACCTTCAAGGTTTGCATATGTGTAATGTGAGAAATTTAGGGTTTGTTCATTGAAGCAGGCAAAGTTCGAAAGGACATCGCCAGACAGCTTGGCGGTAAGCTTAACAGGAGCACTGAAGACAAAGGTGGACAGTCAGGGAGCCAACGTAATGGTGGCTCTTTACGAGAACGAACTGGTAACTGACTGCTCAGAGGGAGAGAACCGAGGCCGTATTTTGACCAATGATTACGTTGTTCGCAGACTGGAGAACCTTTGCAGTGTCAAGGACATTTCTTCCAAGAAAACGGTGACGGGAAGTGTAAACTTCCTGTTGTGGGAAGGTTTTAACAGTCACAAGTGTGGTGTTGTTGTATTTGTTCAGAATAATTCTTCCTTCATTTTTGGTTCCCAGAATTTTCAATTGCCGGACAATCTCTGAGACTGAATTCCCCGGTTTTAATTTCTTCTGGCCGTGTTGTCTGGAACTCCGATTGGATATATCATTGTTTTGAATTTCTGGTGGGAGAGGAAAGACAGAGGGAAAACATGCATTCTAATATACATATATATTAGAGTAGGTAAACTCTTCTTTTTCTTTCATATACATCTGATGTGAAGGAGAAGGACCATATATCTTCATTCTTTATCTACATGAGATAATAATACAGTTGATTGAATCATGGCTGATTGGCTTCACGCACTGGCACTAGTAGCAATAATACTATGTTGAGAGACATATACATATACATATAACAATTTTTTTTAAGGAAAAAATATATAACCATGCATTAAAGGACCTTTACTTGATAATCCAGCCTTATCCAATCCAGGATATTAAGAGGGTGGACTGGATATCATACCACAGGCGCCCAAAGGTATTGGGCCTCAGGTGCACCCTGCTCCGTCTCCACCGGACCACCCCTAAGCCCAGTAGCCTCTACCGACGGACTGATCCGACCGACCATTATAATATCAGGAAATAATAAAAATAACAGTTCTATATATCTACCAACACAAATGATTTTGGACCGTCAATAGATTTGTGTTTGGAGTTTGGATACTTGGTTGATGTACTTATATTTCTGTAATGTCTACATTAATCACTACTATCTTCTTCTACATGGGGCTAATTAGAAACAACAGTCTGGTTTAAGCTTGGATCAGAGTTTCTTTTTAGTTCTTAGAAGACCTGACGTACGTAACCCATTCATACAAGTCGTATTAGTAACTTCAATGCATGGTTGAGTGAGTAGATGTCATAATACCTTTCGTAAATGCTTCATTCGAGTTTTTCTAGTTTAAGTATTTTTCTTTTGTTGTGTACTTACGCCATGGTTTCAATCCAGCCGAACTAAAGTCATGAATCATGATTGTATCGATCGAAATATAATCAAGCAGTTTTGGTTTGGCTAGTTGGGCTTAGGTTGGTTGTAAGTCTAACCCAACCTGCCCAGGAGCTGAAGTTGCACAGTCGTTGGGGATATGATAGAATCACAATAGAATTAAAAAAAAAAAGGAATAAACAAAATCTATATCTATATAAGTGTAGATGCAGTGTGGAACTTAATTTTTTAGACTAAAATTATCTTTTATTTTTTTGTTTGAGAAAGGGTATAAAAGTTATTTTATTATAGTTTTTATGATTACTAAAATGTTCATATTTATGTATTTAATCCATCTCTAATTGTAAGGGTTTAAAATATAAATTCAATTATTAATTTCCACATTGTTTAATTATCTCTCATTAAGTTTTATACTTAAGGTATTAAATCTCATTTTCTCTTATTAAATCATACATTTAAGTTATTTTTCACTAATAAATGCTACTAATTAGATCTATGCCAATATTTTTACCAATATAAATTCATATATTTTAAAACTGACTCAAAAAAAAAACAATTCTTTATCCAAGTGGTGGCTGAGCAATTCAATAGAAAAATTAGACGTATAATAAATAAGAATTATTTTTATTGATAATGAAAATGAGATACATAATTTAGAACTAACCAAAATGAAATATAAAAATTAATAAATAATTCAATTTTTGAGTTAAATGTGTTAAGCTTTAATGTCATAAATAAATAATAAAAATTAATACAATATAAAAATATAAAGATGAAAAAATTCATAAATTTTGCAAAAAAAGCATTCAAACACATGTATAATGCCATATATTTATCATATTAAACAAAAAAGTAAGTATGTCATATCAAAATTATTTTTACACACAAATACAGAAAAAATTGAACACATCTATAATTCCATATTTACACTAATGTTAGAAACATGAATAAAATTGTGAAACTTTCTTTTGACTGAAATATTCATTTTTGAATTTAGTCTCTATTTAATCGTAAGGTTTAAATTGTAAATCGAACTACTACTTTTCACCCCATTCAATTCCCTTTATTTAAATCTTATATTTTTTTTATAAATGAATAAAAAAACAACAAAAAGATAAAACATTACAAAAAGAAGAGTCTAGCCAAGCTGGTAGGCTTGTCAATGATACTTCAAACTTCACAACTTGATCCAACTATCACATATTTGGATGAAATGTTAATGTAATCAGATTTGGATTTTGTAATATGCATCCAATTAATAATAAAAAACAGAAAATAAAAAATACATAAAATTTATAAAAAAGTTTGGATATATTATTACTATCATTATTATCATTTAGAATTACCTTGTACAAAGCACATGCACACTTACTAGTAAAAAGAAAAGCACAGAAAGGGGAAAAAAGTTGCAAGTCCACACTTAATCCAATTGAGATGGTGGGTTTGAGTTATTCTCCAACACTTATGTGTTACCCTTCTCTCATATGATATAGCCAAGAATATTCTATCTATGGAGCAAATTGTTTTATTTGGGGCTCAACGAGATGAAGGCTCCCAGTACTAACATTTAAGTCCTATTTATTAGGTTCCATTATTTTGGAATAACTAGACCAGTAGTTGTCCATTTGATTACATAACTTGGGAATTATATCTTCAATTCATTAATTATTCGTTCATATATTTTCAAAGGCTGGCTTGCAAATAGGTAGATATATTAGTGAACTATGCATGGTTTAGATGGTGAGCAAAAAATCTGATACAAGACATTGCCAATGTCTGCATGATTGAAAATATGGTGGATGCAGAATTTAAGAGGGTCCTCAATTTGATAGATATAGGATAGAGGGTTTGGATTGGTCATAGGATTTCTTACTTCTTTGGAATTAGAGATCCTTACTTAAAATATTTATTTAGATTGATGACATATGTAGAACATCATATAATTGTTAAGTGGGTGTATCGATTGTTGGTAGTTTCATTTTAAAATTAGATCTCTCTAAAGCCTATGATAATATGGAATATTGGGATTTACTGTTGAAAGCCTTGCAACTTAGGGGTTTTACTTCTTGATTTTGTCATCTCATTCAACATTATCTTTCATCAGCATCTTTCTCTATAACTATAATGGCAACTCAACTCATCAGTTTACTCCTAATAAAGGACTTCGACAAGGGTGTCCTTTGTCACCCTATTTATTTATACTCGGGATTGATGTGCTTTCTAGATTATTGTCCAAAAGTTTTCAAAGGGTGACTTGTTTAGTGTTAGATTGGGAAGTAGTGGTACTTTCAACCATATGCTATTTGAAGATGATTTTCTCATCTTTGGGAAGAGCACCCTCTTTGAGTTAATACAACAATTAAGGATTCCTGCATGGTAAAGACATAAGACCAATTTTGCTAAATCTTCATTTTTGTTTAGTCGCAACGCCCATAGCTACAAGGCTAGTGTTATAGTAATGAAATGCAATAAAAGAAATTTGGGATCGGTCTTTATTTCAAATAAAGTTTGTAAAGAGGTGTGGAATATTATTCTAGAGAAGGTCAAGAACAGATTGTAGAGTTGGAAATCCAAGTGTCTGTCACATGTTTGCAAAATAGTTTTGGTATAGCCTAAACTCTATTGTAAGGGATTTTTGGTGGGGTTTTCACCCCTTGTATCTAAAGTGTTAGAAGTCAATATGCAGGCCCAAGGCTTGGGTGGTTTGGGTTTCCATGACATGTGGCAAGAAACGTCTCCCTTATTATGGTGCTTTTTCACCTCCAAAAACATTTTTCGGGCGTAAGTCCTTACCTCTAAGTATCTACATGCTGGGGAAAACTTTTGGTATACTAAGAAGCCTAATGCACCATCAACAGTAACAAATTAATCCATTTTGCTACCCTACAACTGGAAGCACAATGGTAGCTGCACTAATGAAAGCATGTACACACTAGTCGATACAAGAGGAAGTGAATCGAGTCTTTGATGTTGATACTTCAACTATCATCACTCAAATGTCTTTATCATGCACAGACATGGAAGACACTCTTATGTGGGTGAAAACTCCCATTGGGAAGTTTACAATGAGTTCATCATATGGATTAATTAATGAGTAAGAGGCTAGCTCTTCTGCTTATGCAATTGTGTTTGGTGATTGTAGTTGCGAGAAGTTTTGGTGTTTCAAGAATTCCCCACCACATGTCCACACTTTCATATGGACATTCCTGATGGGTATTGTTCCTATTGAAGCTACAATGGCTTGCCAACAAAATAAACATGGACCCTACTTTCCTGTTGTGTGGTGGTGCACCTAGAACTTATGAGCATACGTTCTTTAGATGTTCGTTTGTTAGACTAGTATGGTTTGGAGGAAGCTTGGGTCTTCGCTCTAATGCACACCATGACTAGACCTTACAAGATTGGCTTTTGGAGTGGAGAACAAGTGATGACCCTTTTAACCAGAAAGAAGTATCATTAATTGTCAAAGGGGAAATTTGTATGTGGTAAATCTGGAAACACAGGTGTAACAAAGTAATGGGGAATAGGAAATTTTCTCTGATGTCAATTGTCATTGCAACCCAGGCATAAATTGATGAGATTACTTCATCCTTATATGCTAAAAGGGAGATGATCAATTGCAGAGAGGAGGTGGAGTCGTTATAAGAGCTGACAAAGGTAGCTTATTCTATGCTGGTCAAGCAGTGGATCTTCAGGTTAGCACTCTCCAGGAAAGTGAGAATTTGGCTATTTTCAAAGGCCTACGAGCTTTTATTATTGAGGGAGATGCTTTGAATATCATTAAAGCCTTGTTGGAGGAAAATGCTATTCCTCCTTTGCGCCCCAAAGTTGTTGCCAATTTCAAGGCAAAATTAAGCTTTTTTCCACATTGCTTAGTGCAATTTACACCAAGAACAAGGAATGAGGCTGCTCACCCAATGGCTAAGCATGCTCACTCGATTTCAAGAACTTTCACATTTTCTGATTTATCCTTGTATATCTTTTAAGAGGGTGTTCTTTTTTTGGATTTTGAGAGGGGAAAAGTTGTTCAATGAGATTTTGTTTCCCATTAGCCAAGAATTTCATGTTCATTTTTCAGATTAATGTGGGGACAAGGGAATGTTTATTTTCCTAGGTATCACTTACCTACCTAGGTAAGTGATACTCATCTTCTAGGTGGATAAATAACCTTCCCACGTAGAAGGAAAGTTGCTAACACTTGAATGGGACAAAGATGCCCCTTTTAATAATGGATTTTTATGACTAAAATGTTCTTCTTATGACTAAAAGAACATGGGTAAATGCACTTACCTAGGTAAGTGTTTCCCAGGAAAAACTTACCCATACTATAAGAAAATCAATCTAAACCGGCAGTTAGGCAGCGGTCTTCAATCCACCCCCTAAACCTCTGCCGGCTTAGGTCAAGACCGCTGGCTTAGATGCAAAAGACCATCGCCTTAGGTGTCCGGTTCAAATTGCTCTGAAGCGACGATCACACCAAGCCGTCGGCTTAACATTAATCAAGCAGTGGTTTAGACCGCCAACTTAGATACCAAAAGACAATCGCCTTAGATTTCTAGCAAACTCCCTCGTGTTCTTAGGTGGCGGTCCGAACCACCAGCTTATACACTAAATGACTGCTGCCTTATGTGTTGTTTGTGGCTAAACTGGCAGTTTCATGACTGCTGGCTTAGATCTTTTGTTTTTCCTTTGTTATTTATACTAGGTTAATTCTAACATTTTTTGGTCATGTTGATAGCTAAGCCGGCGGACATGACCGCCGACATACTAATTTTTTTCAAAAAATAAATGCATATACCCACTTAATTGCAGCATTTTTGTGGTACCTGAATTTTTTATTGATTTAACATTTTCATACCTGTTTAATACAACAAAACCATTTGATAAAAATCACTTTAAAATGAAATCTATTAATTCAAAGATTATATATTAAAATATCCAAAAGACATTGTTCAAATACAATATCCAGTTGACATATAAATAGTACAAAAACTTAAAAAAAATAATCAAATTCTCTAATAATGTAGCACATCTTCCAATGCAAATCCACTTAACATATTGGTTGAACCTGCAAATCAAAACATATAAATATTAGAATTATATTCAAATAATTTAACTATAAAGATAGGAATAGTAACTAAAATTGACATGGGCTGAATTCTAAGCAATTAATTGGAATATCAATAGTAGTTTAAAATATTCTATAGCATCCATAAAGGCATACTAGCATTGCATCACTTATAATTGGAATTCGAGCAGGAACCGTAAAACATGGTTTTAAATTTGAGTAGTTCAAAACATGGTTTGGTATAGGAACTGTAAAAGATTCATTTAAAGAAAAAGAAAAAGACAGAAAATTCTAGTAAAACTGCATGAGAAGGTTATGATTTTACTTATTTTCAATCTATTTTTGATGTGCACACTTCTAGAACCCTCGAAGCTAATAAAGACATCAAATCATTCAATTGAATAGAACCCAAGAAATTGAATTGAAGGACCTTACAAAGCAACCTTGTTTACCTGTCTCTGTAGCTGTTCAAGTCTAAGCTTCTATACATTTGCTAGTTCATATTCCCCATTCTCCAAAAGCCTCTGATCTGGCCTGAGTCTGGAATCAGTTGGAGGCAACTTCTCCAATAGGTCAAGTGTCAATTCATTCAAAATAATTGCAAAAGGTGTTAAGTTGTATCATGTTTGAGTGACTGATTTGTCTCATTTCCATAACAACATAGCTTCTGACATGGGATAGTACCCCTTTGGCTTTATAGTAGGATCTCCCAACACAATACATTTTGCTCATCCCATTTTCCAACCAACATTGCCACCTTGTTTCTAGTTCTGTTATCCTGCATAGATCCTTGCACCTGCATGCATGTATGTAAACATACCTTCATTTATTTTCTATACATCAAGCTAATAATGTCACAAAAAGGGATAAAATATAAAATAAAATGGAAAAAGTAAAAGACCTAACGACTAGATACAGAGATGCTATTAGATCTAGCTCAAACAGGAAAAAGAATGACACAGAAAAGCATTTGTAAGCTATCAACCCCAAGTCAAAAATAATATTGCAAACTAGAAAAATAGAGCTTTTACTCTAAATTGCATGACTACTAATGTGCAGAAGAGATCTTTGATTGGGATAGCAAAGCCCACTCCTGAGCAGTGACATTTGCAAGTTCAACCACCAAGGATTTCATCTCATCCACCTATTGAGTAACAAATGGCTTCATGGCTTCAACCATCAACAGGTAATGCACAATTAATCAAATGACCTCCAACCAACCCTTTTTCTACAAGTTAAACGTTCAACAACTCTTTACTTAGAGAAGAAATATTTGTGCAATATCAAAGTTTGCATAGTTTATATGATTCTCTTTCTTTTACAAGCAAAAAGTTCAGAAACCTGTGAGAAGGTCTATGCTTAGAGTAGTAGTTTTACTCAGAAGTATAGAATAGTAAAACGCAAGGACCTCATGCTTATCAAATGCAGGACATGGATGATTCCTAATGGTCGAATGGTCAAATGTCTAATGGTCCAATCTGGAGGTGCCCAATTCACAGTCTAATGGTCGAATGCCATGTTGGAGCCCCTTCCCTTGGCATGGATGGTGCAAAGTAAATTGCAACGCAGTCTTTGTGAAAGAAGCTAACACCAACTTCCTTGGTTGTGTGGTCAGAAATGATGCTGAGGATCTTTTAATGGCAAAGGGTTGGGTGACAAAGTGCAATAACCCAAAGACAGCTAAATTAATAGCCCTGAGAAATGGAATCAAACTGGCAGTGGATTTTGGGCTTCCTAGAGTGGAGTTTGAATTGGATTCCAAAGAAGCAGTAACAGACATTGAAGTGGGGCAGAAGCATCTGATGGATTATGACTACAATCTAGTAGCAGACATCTGACAAGAGAGTGCAACTCTAAGAAGATACTCCTTCACAGCTATCAGAAGATCGGCCAACCAAGTGGCCCATGAGATCACTGTGAACTAAGACATCACCCAATTCTGTTTTGTAATGATGGATTTGTTTACATCCATGGATGGAGTTTTTCTTGCAAATGACTATGCTTTGATTGATGTACCCACCATAAAGTTGTTTAATGAAATTACTTGCTTTGTTACCAAAAAAATGAGGCACTTGTATGAAAGTTCAAAAACCATTAATCCACAACCTATTACTGATCATATTGATGTCATGGGTCATTGTATCAACCCAATTGTTAGACCATTTGACCCATGACCTGCATTCTACCTTTGTGTCCAATCTAAGTCTGATAGCATTGCTTTTCTCTGCATTTATGGGATGAATGTCACTTCTCCAACAATGGCAGCTATCTTCTTCCATTAGCATGCATGTTTTTTAGTATTTAGGTAATTCACAATTGTTCAATTGACAAATGACTGATTTATTTTTATCATTCATTCACAAAAAAAAAAGAACTCCCAAAGTAGTGCCAAATCAACTAACCGGGAAGGTTTTAATTAACAATCAAAAAACAGGGGAAGTCTTGGTAATTATCAAGTAGTTGAGCAAAGTGTATTTAAATTTCTAAAATGCCAATGCAGTCTACAAGGATTCGTAAAGTGCTGCCATTAAAGTAATGGTCCCTACATGCAGCATTGTCATAGATAGTTTTAAATACTTAGGAGGCCTAACACCACAATTCAGAAAGATGAATGACTTTATTAAGAAGGTTACCTATAGCGATCTTGACACCCGTGTTGTAATTGGCAAGGTTCAAAGGCCTAACACCACGATACGAGTTTTGGCCATATCGTACCGCTACTTAGAAACGGCCGAAATTTTAGTTTTTTTTTTCAAACTTTGTTTTTTTGGAAAGATTATAGGCTGTTTTTTATTATTAAAAAAAAATGGGAGTCCGAAACACCTGGAAACAGGCGTTTCAGACCGTATCGTTTGTAAAAGATACGATACGCTCGATACGGGACATATCGTATCGATACTTTGAACCTTGGTAATTGGTAACAGTAGTGAGGGCCACCCTGTTGATGAATAGGTCAATGTTCTGTATAAGTAAAAGCATTCAAGATGTTGGGAAAAGACATAAAAGTTTATTGATAGAACCTATTATCTAATGTCATTTTGTAAGATCCTATACATTTTCCTTTTATGGATGACTTTATTATAGGATTTCTCTGGTAGGTATGTGGTCTTCCTCTGTTGTTTTATTTTAGATGAAATCCATATCTATTTTGCTGTTAAAGTTGAATTCTCTAAGTTCTATCTACCTATTTCCAGCACACTCCTGGTGGCGTTCTTGGTTTCTTCTCTAGACTTGTATATGTTGCTGCTTGCATTAAAAGCAGTTTATGTCCATGTTAGGACTGAACTGTTTCTTAGACAGGTAAGCTTGCTAATTTGAGCTGGCACTTGTGAAAGATATTGATGCGTAACATGTGAATGATATATTGTAGTGTCATTTTCCTCGCTAAATGTTTTCTGTGCTTCTTCATATCTATTTTCCCTGTATAAATCTTTTATGTGCAAATATCAAGATAGGTCATGGGTGTTTCTTTTGCTTCTTCTTTCTGGTAATATATCTTCTTTTTCTCAATTTGTGTGTTGAATATTGTATTTTCAAAAATTAGAATGCACCATACAGTGTTCAATGCAAGGTTTACCTACTTGCATTTTTTTTTTCATTTCACAGGTGTTATTCTTTCACAAGGACATATCTTTTCTTGGATAGACTAGTTTGGCAGGCTACTGGCTTCACTTTCAAGTTGTGAAAGTTATAGCATTTTCATTTCTTTCTACATTAAATTACACATCAATTACAACCTAACATTACTTGCCGAATGAAGCTCATAGACTTTTTTTATCAGCGACGAAGAAAATTTTATTAAAACTAATTAAGAAAAAGGTTACAACAAGTTGTCAAGTCTGAGCACTCTTTACAACCGAACCCAATACAAGTGATTTTGATGCATTCCTTACTTAGCTAATCAATCAGCCAATCCATTAGCAGACTTTCTTACCCATCTAAATTGAATGTTGTGAACTCTTGACAACATCTTGAACCGCCTGATCATTACTTTGTTGCCAAATCATCCCCTTTCCTTTATTCAGCCAGCCAATTATTATTTTTGAATCCCCTTCCACAATCAACCTTGTGATTCCCATTTCCCTAGCTTTTTGTACCCCAGAAACAGCACCCATTAACTCTTCCCTAACTGAATCACCTTGTCCAATTGGACCCCACAACAATCCACATATGTTCTCCCAATCCTGCATCATTCATCCAATTGCAGAGGGTCCTGGATTTCCCAAACTACTTCCATCAAAGTTTAATTTCATCCATCCTCCATCTGGGGGTGGCCAAACCTCATTGATTCTTTGCTTCCTAGACGATGAGTCAGCAATTGAACCCCAATTTCTGAAGAAATCTTCTACTGTAAAATCTGAAAATAGCTTCATGATCTTCACTCAGTGTGCTACCCTTGGGTTAACAATCTCAATAATTGCCTTCTTATTCTTCTCTTTTTCCTTGAAGATTCTTGAGTTCCTCTCCTCCCAAATTGTCCAAACTACCACTGCCCTTCTGAATCTCTGCAATATTCAGCCTCTTCTCTTAGTGCTCCTTAGGAAAGATTGACTAAAGAATCTATCCAAACTAACAGGAGGGATCAGAATAGGGATAAGCAATCAAAAGAATTTATGATACCTTTCGTTTCAATATCAAATCAATAATCCACCAATTAAAGGCCTGCAATATGCAGTAATGTGTAGATGAATGGATCCTACACTGGATGTTAAACTATCAGCACCACACCTATTAGGCTTGCATTGTCATTACTCTGTGGTATGAATGATCTTCAAGTGGATAAGGAAATGGTGGACCCACCAATGGTCTAGGATGCCATGACTGTAATAAGAATTTGATAGAGAAAAGTAGTGCCATCTATGGCATGTATTTATATTCTTGATGGTATTTCCCCACTCATTCCCCTTTCCATTTTTCATACACCAAGGTCTAGAATCAGAGAGCAATGCAATCATCATCACTGTCAGGGTCCATCCAAAAACATCATGGTATAGTCCCCTTGTAATTTACAACAGTGACTGCCCCATCCATCCTGTCAAAACTTGGTTCATTTAAAAGCATTAAGTCATCAAGTAAAGCAAATATTGCCACATCAAATTCTCAATAGATTCAACTGCAGCACATCTGAATGGAAAACCCATAGAAAAATAAGAAAAAGAGAACGACTTTCAGGAATTCTACCTGGAAGATCTCCTACATTAAATGAGATAAAAGGGGGTATCGAACGATTATTTGTATTAGTCAATGCCTACCAAGACTTGGAGCGATGATGGTTCACATTCATTCATTTGTCAGATATTTAGAACTTATGTCTTGATGTAACACTTTCAATAAGAGATAAACATACTCACCCTTAGTATTTCAACCATTGCCTTGATATGGTTATCAAGTTCCCATCCTTTATATATTAGTTTTGGACTTCCTCTTCTCCTAAGAAAACCTGAACTATAACAGTAATGTGATATCAAATTCTTGCTTCCATATACAGTGAAGTCAAATTCAACAAGGCCTTGTCTAAACTATATAGGGTAAGCTTCTTTATTCATTATACCAGAAACTTAAATTGTAACATTGTGGTCTTATTTTCTTGGTAAATTAATGACATTGTGGTGGAGGCCTGTCTTGAACTCTCTCTCTCAACTCCAGGGCATTTGGATATCATATCCTGTATGACAATGCACAACTTCTTTTAGTTTTATTCATCTATGAAAGTTTCCCAGGAAGTGATGGTAGTTTTTAATCTGTTTTCTTTTCTACTGTACACATCTTTTGTCAAGGTTGGTCCTGACTGGCTTTCCATTTCAGTCCAGGTCACACAGACATGAATGCACCTTCAAATTATCAGATGTCACCATGGAGATGATATCTTTCAGACTCGAACAAGAGGGAATCTAGTAGATTAGAGAGAGCGGTCGGACATATTGGGACTCAACATATATCCCCACACCACCCCAAGATCATAAATTCTGGACCATTGGCTCTCTATGATCATTTGAGCACTCTCTGTTTTTGCTAAATGATCATTTCAGCACTCTGTGAACAAAAAATAAAGAAAAAATCAAATAACTTTTCACAGAGGAGGCAACACCATCCAACACCATGGCTTCCAACAAGGAACTGGGGTAAGCTTGTAAAACGAATCTGGTCAATCCTTCGGATGAAATGTCTTAGCATCGTGAAAACAACATATGTAAAGTTGGTACTGTAATTTTCTCATTTTCAAGTAATTACTTTAATTGCACCAAAATAACAACAACAATTTATACTTAAACAAGTGTATAAATTCCATAATATAATGATTCCAACACACAATACCAATAAAGAAAATAATGAAGAGACAAAAATCGATCACTTAAAAATTAGGGAAACAAGTGGGTTGAATAACATAGCCTTGACCTAGAGTGTCAGTGCATCTCACTTAAAACTCTAATATGACTCTGGAACTATATCCCACTTCAAATTAAGTCAAAGGAGTATAATCATCATAAATTTTCATAATAATCTTCTGAAAGCTAACAATATAGGATAAGTAACTAGCTTAGATGCTCATCCATTCATTCCTTGAGATTATCGCAAGTTCGCAATTACTATATATGGAATACAGTAATTTTGGTGTGTGAGAGATTAATCCAGGCTGATTTTTATGGCAGTATGTTTTCAAAGATGGACAAATGATGTTGGATCTAAGCTACAGAAAGAAGGTATGCAAATTCTACCTTTAGAAACCACACACTCACAAACACATTTCTGAAGCCAAAGGAGTTCCTGTATCCACTTAAATTTTGGCACAATCAGGTAAGCGTTCAAATACGGAGACATTGCCACAATGCACCTTAACCTTCTGGTTGTTCACCTCAATGTCCTGAAAAATTTTAGGACATTAAATTAGGAAATACAGAGACAGATTAATGCCTTAATTAATAGACTTAATGAGTAAGTACCAATATTAGGAATAGGGGACAAAGACAAAATTCAAGGGAAAAATAATGAAAGGAAAAAAGAAAAAATCTACTTTTAAGAGAGAATCAGAGGGCAACGATGATAAATTCTTAAAAAATCTCTAGAAACTAAACTAACAAAATAGATGGACTACAGGAAAATCTCTTTTGGCCCTTCCTAATCTGGTACTATTCTTGAATTGAATTTTGAGCTAACTAGAGAAATTTGTTCTTGCTTGAAATCTTAAAAAAAGGAATAAATAACAGCAACAACAAAATACAAACAAACGACAGCAATACACAATAGCAGTAGGAGTCGGACAGACAGAGAGAGGGAGAGAGAGATAGGAAAATAACAAAGAGTCGGACAGACAGAGAGAGGGGTTAGAGTTAAAGTTAGTTTTGCTTTACCAGCAGTAGCAGCAGGAGAAAGGGCAGCGCCGAGATCAGCCATGTCGAATCCATCCTTGTTATTACTCGTAATGGCAAATGGAAGGCGTAGTATCAACAAAAAACCCTCCAGAGTTTAGAGAGAAAAAAAAAAAAAAAAGCAGCAGTAGAAAGACGAGGGAAAGGTGAGAGAGGGTGAGTTGCGGAAGATCAAACGCGGTTACGCGGGAATGCAGGTTTTGGCATTTTAGGTTTTAGACCGGCTCAAATCCGGTTCGAACAATAAAGCCTCGTGCCAGGTGCCAAAGACCGCCGCCCAGATTTTATTTTTCTTTTAATTTAATTTAGCAAGCGGCGGTCTTTATGAGAATACTGCCTTTGGCTGTCTCTAAGGCGGCGGTCTTAAAGAGCGCCGGCTCTAAACCGCCGCCGCCTTAATGCTGGGTAATAATTGCATATAAAAGAGCTTTGTGCCTTTGAGGAATGCAATAAAAGTGGGATTCCCTACAAACAAAAAATACTGTATACACTCTCAAAGAATATGATTCTAGCCCATATAGGATACATCCTTAATTTCATGAATTTAGCATGCATGTGTGGATATATGCTATGTATGCACAAAAATATTCTTTTCGGGCTCTAATAAAAGGATATGTATGCTTACTACTCTCAATGTAGGCAGATCTTCTCAAAGCAAAAAATCATAAACACAATAATTGGGATCGCTAGTGTCGCCGAGATGCATTAGCCTCTAACCACAACCGAGCCTCCAGTGTTGTGGATCGTTAGTGTCGGAGGCCATTGATGAATCGGTTGGAGGGTGGAACGCCAAAGGCTAGAACCTAAAGAGAGAGTCCGAGAGGCGAGAGAGAGAGCTCAAAGAGAGACTGAGAGAGCTCAGAGAGAGACTAAGAGGTGAGAGAGAGAGCTCAGAGAGAGACTGAGAGGTGAGAGAGAGCTCTGAGAGAGACTGAGAGGCGAGAGAGAGAGAGAGAGAGAGAGAGGGAGTATGAGAGAGTGAGAGTCTAAAAGAGAGGGAAAGAAAGGCTTGCACAGCGGGTGTTAATCTGTTAGATGACTCAGACTGTCAAGCAGGTTGTTCACCAGTTTTCCAAACTAGCAAACTTGTCTTAGCTCTCAGTTTGGCAGTCTGAACACTCTCAGACTGTTGAACGTTTTTATTATATTTTTTAAAAATATAACATTAATATATATATAATATTATATAAAAATATATATCGGTTGATTTAGTTAACCACTGGTTTTTTTAAATGATTAACCAAAATCAAACCGAAAACTTTCGGGTTTTTAAAAATATCAAACTAAAAACCAAACCAACCAATTCGGTTAACCGATTTTTCGGTTGATTCGATTTTTTTTGCTCACCCCTACATCTTAGGGTGTATACACGGTTTTTGTTCCTCCAAATGCAATGAGATTCTCTGCAAACAAAAACTCTACAATTACTTTGAAAACATTTATTTCAGAGACCAAACAATTATGGGCCATTCGATAATGGTGAAATTTGCATAACATAATAATAGCTTAACTTCTGGTCTTCTCTAGTGAATAATTGTGAATTAGTTATATTATAACTATTTTACCCTTTGATATTTCACTATATGACTTATTTATAAGAGAATTTGACTATGACAAATTGCTTTCTCATAAAGATATACCGATGAGCAATTTAGTTTTTTAATAAATTATTAAATGATATCCCTACTTTTAGGCATACATATATATATATATGGGTGCTTTGTTTTATTTTGGTTAAATTGTAGATTAATATCTTATGTTTTGGGGCTAGTCTTACTTTAATATCCAAACTTTAAAACACGGTGGGAAAAGAATAAATTTTAAATGGCCAAAATAGCCCTAATTAGAACCCTTTACATCATGAATGTCGTTGGCACAACCACATGGGAAAACATCGCCAAAAAAGGGTTCTAGAGAATACTAGTGAGAGAGAGAAAAGAGAGAGACTTGCCCAGATCAAATCCCAAGATGAATTGATTTTTCGGGTCTAATAAAGATTTCATGGAAACCCCATAAGTAAACATGCAACAATGAATTTACCTTTCATTTTCTTTTTGATCTTAACATTCTATTTTTTCACTATCTTTTTTGTCCTTTTAAATGATTATATCGTGTTGTTTGTTGAAGTGGGTTGTCTATTTGTTGAATTTTCCTTTTGATATTTGTAGTTCAAAAGCTTTCTCTGGGATTTGATTTGTGTGAACTTACTTGTTTGACTCTAGCTCGAATTGCTAGGAAAATGTTGATCCAGGCCCATGACGGTTCAATATTGAACATGAAATTAGAGTTGTAAAATGCGTTGTGCCACCCACTATATCAACCGGACCAAGCCGGGCTTGGGTTTTGAAATCCGTGGGCTAGTATGACACGACCCACTGTGTAGGCCGACATTGCAAAGCGTGAAGCTGGCCTGCTATGGGTCGCATTGGCTAGCTTTGAATTAGTCATTGCAAGGTCTCCAACAACTAATTTTTATTTTTTTTTCGTTTTTACATAAATACCCTCAATAATTATAAACAACTAGTATGGGGGCGTATTAGTGTATTTTGGCTTTGAAGAGAGGAAAAATAACAATAATGCCCCCAATAACTATATAACAACTAGTTTGGAGGGGCATTTTATTAAAGTGATAATTAACTTTTTCAAAGACCAAAATATCCCTCCCAACAAATATAAAATGGCTAGTTTTTAAGGGTATTCTAGTCAATAAAATTATTTTTTGCTCCTATAAATACTATTACCCTCTCTAATTCTCTTCACACCAATTCTTATACTCTTTCATACCGACCAAACCAAACCGACCGACTAAGTAATTTTTATTTTTTACGGTTTTAATATTACAAATTTTTAGAAAATAGTCAGTTCCTCTCAAAATCCCTTTCCCAACATGTTCGGAAATAGAAAAACCAACCATACTACTAGTGCTAGGGGTGGAAAGAGAAAAAACCAACCAACTTTGGGAAATGTTTAACAAACTCTTAAGAGGAAGAAAAAAAGAGCTATTTGCATAAAATGTAAGAGTGATTTTAGTAATAACAATAGGGGTGGTACTGGCCATATGGATAGACATATCGCCAACCATCTAAAAAAATAACAATTATCAAAATCAATCACAAATTAGGCTAGGTTTTTTTTGATAATTTTGAATATTTAAAAAAAATGAGACAAGAATTAGATAAATATATTGTACATGCTGAATAACCATTTTTATTAGTTGAAAACCCTATGCTATAAGGCTTTTACAACAATCAATAAATGCCCAATTTAAAAATGTTTCTAGAAGTACTATTATAGCAGATGTTTTAAAAATATTTTATTCGTATAAAGAAAAAATAAATTCTACTTTGTCAAATCTTAATTCCAAAATTTCACTTACATCTGATATTTTGAGCTCCAAATATAATATTAGTTATATTTGTGTCATGGGACATTTTATTGATAAAAATTAGCTTTTACAAAAATGAATTTTAAGTTTTGTAAGACTTTAAGGCCACATACTAGCCAATAATTTTTGTTAGTATATTAAATATTTTGCATGCTTATTGTATTGAAAATGAAGTTTTTCTATTAGTTTTGATAATTCTAGTAATAATGATTCAGCTATAAATATTTTAAAATTTCAATTAAAACCATGTTTAAATGGTAAATTATTTCATATTAGATGTGCATGTCACATCTTAAATTAATGTATACAAGATGCTTTAAATATTATTTCACCTCCCATTTCTAAAATTAGAAATTGTATTATGTATATTAAAATTTCTAGAACAAGAAAACAAGAAGTTAAGTATTTATGTCAAAAATATGGTCTAAAGTATACGAATTTTGTATTAAATCTTCAACATAGTTAGCATTCCACCTATTCTATTCTAAAGAGTTGTATTTCATATAAAAAGACATTCTTACTAATTTTTATAATGAAAAAAATGCCCCATGATTTTATAGCCAGTGATGATTGTGAAATTGCAAATTGTATAAACGATTTTTTACAACTCTTTTATGATACAACTAATGCATTTTCGAGTGTTTTGTTATCCAATTTCTTGTATTTTAGTTAATTAATTATTTATAATTAATGATTTTTTAAATATAGAAATAATGTAAGTTTTCAAAATATTATGATGTAATGGAAATTAAATTTAAAAAAATATTAAGAAAATCTTTCTCCTCTATATTGTTTGGTTACAATATTAGATCCTAAAATTAGAAAAAAGATGGTTTAGATATTTTATTTGAATCTTATTATGAAAATAGGAGAAGTGATATTCAAACAAAATAAAGTGAATTTAATAATTGGTTACTAACAAATAATGGACAGATAGAGTTTGGTCACTAATAAATAAAAGGCAAAGATCTACTATCACTTCATCGTTAAGTTTATTTACTGAGCAATTCATTTTTATTAATAATCCAATTTTAGTAATTTCACAAATTCCATTAGCTTTGAGGAATTATATAATTTTGATATTTTAGCTTAGTGGAAATAACATAAAAAAATTCCTATGCTTGCCACCATGACACATGATCTATTAATCCCTCTAGTGTTCATAGTTCTATCAGAGTCCTATTTTAATGCAGGTACTAGATGATAAGAGAGGTTGCATGAAAGATAAAAGCATGTTGATATGTATATGCTTGAAGGAGTGACTGAATGTTGAATACATACTACAATATCAGGGAGGGCACAATACTTCAATTGATCGTTCACCAAAAGTAAAAGATGTAAATTAAGATCAAGGAGATGGAGGAAGTGGAATTTTAAGTTAAAGAATATAATGAAGTCAATATTTTTTTGTATACTCAATAATTGTACAAGATTTTTAAAATTATTGTAAATTTTGTTTTCTAATTTTATTTAAACTTTATTTTTTTTATTTTTTTCAATATCACTATAAATTTATATTTTCGATTTTATTATATTATTTTTATATTCTATTCCAATTCCGTCATAATTTTTTAATTTATTTTTTAACTTCATATAAAATTGTGATATATTCATTAAATTAAAATGAAATAAAGTTTTTGAAATTTTATTTTCAATTTATTGTCTATTATGTATTTTGTTACATGTTTTTTTGTTAAAGTTTTATTTTTTTTTCCAAAATTTTTGTCATTTTTACTTAGCAAAAAAAAAAAGACAGAATAAAAAAGACCGAGCCTGCTTCGGTCTAGGCCCATGACCTA